CGGGTGCAGCAGCAAGCACGGGGTTCATGCAGACACTGAGGTCAGGGACAGAGCCGTGAGGATGGGGTGCATGCAGACATTGAGGTCAGGTGCAGAGCTGTGAGGACGGGGTGCATGCAGACACTGAGGTCAGGTGCAGAGCCGTGAGGACGGGGTGCATGCAGACACTGAGGTCAGGTGCAGAGCCGTGGCACATGCACAAGGTTACACAGCGGTGGCTCCAAAGTGGCCGCAGTATCTGCCCTCAGTCAGTGACCGATCCTGCAGGTCCAGGGCTCCTAACAAGCCCCGTCAGGGCTGATGCTGCGTGTCTGGAGACGGCACTTTCAAGAGTCAGAGATAAGCACAAGTTCTCCGGACTTTGCAGAGAGGGGAGGCCACCACAGAGAGGGACGCTCCAACACACCGCTGAGCACTGCACAGGGAGCCAGGATGAAGGGCGGAGTAGATGGAACTGCTATGAAACTATGCATGATCTCACTACTGTGGGGTCAGTGCTATGCATGATCTCACTACTGTAGGGTCAGTGTGCACTGCAGATCTCATGGAATCACTACTGTAGGGTCAGCGTGCACTGCAGACCACATGGAATCACTACTGTGGGGTCAGTGTGCACTGCAGATCTCATGGAATCACTACTGTAGGGGTCAGTGTGCACTGCAGACCACATGGAATCACTACTGTAGGGTCAACGTGCACTGCAGACCACATGGAATCACTACTGTAGGGTCACTGTGCACTGCAGATCTCATGGAATCACTACTGTAGGGTCAGCGTGCACTGCAGACCACATGGCATCACTACTGTGGGGTCAGTGTGCACTGCAGATCTCATGGAATCACTACTGTAGGGGTCAGTGTGCACTGCAGACCACATGGAATCACTACTGTAGGGTCAGTGTACACTGCAGATCTCATGGAATCACTACTGTAGGGGTCAGTGTACACTGCAGATCACATGGAATCACTACTGTAGGGTCAGTGCACACTACAGACCACATGGAATCACTACTGTAGGGTCACTGTGCACTGCAGACCACATGGAATCACTACTGTGGGGTCAGTGCGTACTACAGACCACATGGAATCACTACTGTAGGGTCAGTGTGCACTGCAGACCACATGGAATCACTACTGTGGGGTCAGCGTGCACTGCAGACCACATGGAATCACTACTGTAGGAGACAGTGTGCACTGCAGATCTCATGGAATCACTACTGTAGGGGTCAGTATACACTGCAGATCTCATGGAATCACTACTGTAGGGTCAGTGTACACTGCAGATCACATGGAATCACTACTGTAGGGTCAGTGTGCACTGCAGACCACATGGAATCACTACTGTAGGGTCAGTGTACACTGCAGATCTCATGGAATCACTACTGTAGGGGTCAGTGTACACTGCAGATCACATGGAATCACTACTGTAGGGTCAGTGCGCACTACAGACCACATGGAATCACTACTGTAGGGTCAATGTGCACTGCAGACCACATGGAATCACTACTGTGGGGTCAGTGCGCACTACAGACCACATGGAATCACTACTGTAGGGTCAGTGTGCACTGCAGACCACATGGAATCACTACTGTGGGGTCAGCGTGCACTGCAGACCACATGGAATCACTACTGTAGGAGACAGTGTGCACTGCAGATCTCATGGAATCACTACTGTAGGAGACAGTGTGCACTGCAGACCACATGGAATCACTACTGTAGGAGACAGTGTGCACTGCAGACCACATGGAATCACTACTGTAGGAGACAGTGTGCACTGCAGATCTCATGGAATCACTACTGTAGGGGTCAGTGTACACTGCAGATCACATGGAATCACTACTGTAGGGGTCAGTGCGCACTGCAAATCACATGGAATCACTACTGTAGGGTCAGCGTGCACTGCAGACCACATGGAATCACTACTGTAGGGTCAGCGTGCACTGCAGACCACATGGAATCACTACTGTAGGGTCAGCGTGCACTGCAGACCACATGGAATCACTACTGTAGGGTCAGCGTGCACTGCAGACCACATGGAATCACTACTGTAGGGTCAGCGTGCACTGCAGACCACATGGAATCACTACTGTAGGGTCAGCGTGCACTGCAGACCACATGGAATCACTACTGTAGGGTCAGCATGCACTGCAGACCACATGGAATCACTACTGTAGGGTCAGCGTGCACTGCAGACCACATGGAATCACTACTGTAGGAGACAGTGTGCACTGCAGATCACATGGAATCACTACTGTAGGGTCAGCGTGCACTGCAGACCACATGGAATCACTACTGTAGGGTCAGCGTGCACTGCAGATCACATGGAATCACTACTGTAGGGTCAGCGTGCACTGCACACCACATGGAACCACTACTGTAGGGTCAGCGTGCACTGCACACCACATGGAATCACTACTGTAGGAGACAGTGTGCACTGCACACCACATGGAATCACTACTGTGGGGTCAGTACACACTGCAGATCTCATGGAATCACTACTGTAGGGGTCAGCGTGCACTGCAGACCACATGGAATCACTACTGTAGGAGACAGTGTGCACTGCAGATCTCATGGAATCACTACTGTAGGGGTCAGCGTACACTGCAGATCACATGGAATCACTACTGTAGGGTCAGCGTGCACTGCAGACCACATGAAATCACTACTGTAGGGTCAGCGTGCACTGCACACCACATGGAATCACTACTGTAGGAGACAGTGTGCACTGCACACCACATGGAATCACTACTGTAGGGGTCAGTGTGCACTGCAGACCACATGGAATCACTATTGTAGGGTCAGTGTGCACTGCAGACCACATGGAATCACTACTGTAGGGTCAGCGTGCACTGCAGACCACATGGAATCACTACTGTAGGGTCACTGTGCACTGCAGACCACATGGAATCACTACTGTAGGGTCACTGTGCACTGCAGACCACATGGAATCACTACTGTAGGGGTCAGTGTGCACTGCAGACCACATGGAATCACTACTGTAGGGGTCAGTGTGCACTGCAGACCACATGGAATCACTACTGTGGGGTCAGCGTGCACTGCAGACCACATGGAATCACTACTGTAGGGGTCAGTGTGCACTGCAGACCACATGGAATCACTACTGTAGGGGTCAGTGTGCACTGCAGACCACATGGAATCACTACTGTACATTGACAGACTACAATTATTAAAACACACACAAAGAACAATGCAATGCAATCAAAGTTGCTCAAACAAAATACATCAAATCCCATAAACATAAATCTGAAGGGAAGTGACTTTCTTGGCAATCTTCTTAGACACACTGCAGATATGAGCAGGTGCTGCCTGGTGACCTGGACGGCCATCATCAGCACCATCTGAGTGTGCAGAAGGGAAAACATCTGCATTTTAACATGATGCCTATCGAGTGATAAGCACACTGCAGTAAACATGCTGCCTCGTGAGGGATAAGCACCCTGCAGTTTGAGAAGCTGGGGTATTTTTTTTTTTTTTTTTTTGGTTTTTCGAGACAGGGTTTCTCTGTGTAGCTTTGTGCCCTTCCTGGAACTCACTTGGTAGCCCAGGCTGGCCTCGAACTCACAGCGATCCGCCTGGCTCTGCCTCCCGAGTGCTGGGATTAAAGGCGTGCGCCACCACTGCCCGGCCGAGAAGCTGAGGTATTGTCCACTGAGATCTCGATATCAACCCATTCACTAAAGTTCGTGAAAGAATATGATGCTTTGAAAAGCATTTCCTTAAGAAATCAATGTTTGATTTATAAACAAAATAAGGTGCTCGGGGACGGCTTTGCAGGGAAGGACTCTTGCCATTTAAGCACGACACCTTTAGTTTCAATCCCCAGAACGCACGCAAAAGATAACGGAGGAATTATTTTACAGGAAAAAAAATGTTAGAACACTAATTTCAAATAGGAATGCCATTTTAAAAATGCTGTGGTGATGAAATACTGGATGGTTAATGTCACAGACATCCCCGGGCTGCTTAGCCCCACATCCAGCCTCGCAGCTGAGTTACAGCTGAAGCACAGGAAGCTCCCTGGAACGATCAAAGGCAAAAGTGTTAATGCACTGTGAAGTGTGAAATCCAGCACTGGTGACTGCCAAATTTAAGTGTTCTTTCTAGGGTTGGGGATTTAGCTCAGTGGTAGAGCACTTGCCTAGCAAGCGCAAAGCCCTGGGTTCGATCCTCAGCTCAAAAAAAAAAAAGTGTTCTTTCTAATTGTAAACCATTTAACTACATTTTCTTGATGCAAACATACACTAATATAAATCAGCAGAGGTCTATATAATTTTGAAAGACTAGATGAATTGACATCCATAAAAACAGAAAATATGGGAACAATATATTAATTACTGTTTTGTGTGTGTGTCAAAGAGAGAATGTGTATGTGTGTGTGTAGGATACAAGTGTACACATCTGTGTGTGCACACATGCAGAGGCCAGAGGGAGACTTGTTTGTCCTTCCCTATCAATGTATGCCTCATTCCCAAGGATGCTCACAACCCTGTAGATAAGCTGGCTGCCAGAAAGGCCCAGAACCCATCTGTCTCTGTCTCCCACCGTACTGGGGATACAGGCCTGTGAGGCAACGCCAAGCTTTTCAGTGGGTATTGGAGGTTTAAACCCAGATCTGCATGTCTGTACAGCGAATACCCTCTTATCCACTCAGTCAGAGCCCAGCCCTAATCACAGTCTTCAAGTATTTTGTTATTTCTTTCTAAAAATGAAGCCTGAATATAACGTCTAAATGTATGACTTTCAAAGAATGATACCATATAGCATTCAAATGGCTATATTTGTCTGAAGAATGAGACAGGAGAGTTAATTTAACAATAGTTACAAATTTAGCTTTGTCACTCAATTTTTTTTTTAATGACAAAAATTAAAACATTTTCACTCATGGATAGTTTTTATAGTCATCAACATTAAAAGAAGTCTATTTAACATTAGTATTTTACAAGTTATTGCTGGAAAAGTCAACCCTGCCTGCTATCTTACCATCAAAGAAGCTCTTGGCCCTTAGGTAGCTGACACTGAGTCTGAGAACTGAGAGTTTGTCCAGCTTGTTAATAACATCTTGTGGGAAGGGCAGCAGGCTGGCCAGACGGTCCAACTCTGTGTTCAGTCGGTCTCTGTGTCGCTTAGAAGGATTTGACTTGATTCCTTCAGCAGGAACTGGCTTTACTCTGAAAAACAAAGAATCCAAAAGCCCTTAGAAAACACAGCAAAATGTCTCCTTAGATGCCTCCAGCAGAATGAACTTTAAAGATCTACTTGGAGTTTGCAAAGATCATGCCCAAATCTTCCTTCCATATCTTAATTAAGAAAAACAGGGGAAGGGGAAACCCTTCATTGGTGTGTCATTAAAAGCTTATAGACTCATGGGGAAATGTTAAATACATCTTACAAAAATGCTTACTCACTTCACATATCTGTAGTGTAGTAACCGCCAATGAACAAGTCTACTAGATTTTATTTTCCCCTCAAAAACAGTAGTTAGTCATTGCCAAAGGAATGGAAATTTCTTTACTACAGTGTATTGAAATCACACTTCTGCAGTCTTCCAGATAAGCAGCCTAGCACTGCTTCCAAGGATGGCAGAAAAGCCAAAAACAGAAGGACTGGCTGCTTCCTGTACACATCCCACTCAAAAACGGCTTCCCCCACCCTTCTGGAACCTGAAGATGCCCCACTACCTACTGATATGGTCCTTAAATACAAACAAGAATAAATCTGAATTCAGGTATTCATGTTTGTTACATGTCAAATATTCTACTTTCACGGCTAGGCTAAATCTATATAGCGATTAGCTTTTATAATGTGCATCTCAATTAAAAAGCCAAGGAGTCCCTGATGATGTAGTATGATGTTCCTTTTAGAGAAAAAAACAAAACAAAACACAAAGAAACAAAGAAAAGAGGTAGACACGGGTAGGAGATGAACCTGAGTTTTACAGAAAGGCCTAATCTGAGATTTCAAAGTAAAAATTAATAACTTACAGTCAACTGACAGATCAGCAGACACCCATGCTAAAAGAGACCATATTAAATGGACTGGTGGGATGGCTCGGTGGGAAAACGTGCCCACCTCCAAGCCTGCGGAACAGAGTTCAATTTCCAGGATCCACACAGTGGAAAAAGGTGAGGGACTGACTCCCTATGCTGTTCTGATATCCACAGGCATACCATGGCCTGCATGTGTGTACACACACACACACACACACACACACACACACACACACACACATTTTAAAAGAAACCAAATAAAATTAGAAAACCAAATAAAATTTTAGACCACATCTCTACACCTTTCCATAAGATCCGTATAACAAAAGCCACTTAGACACAACAAATGAAATTAGTGTCATACAAAGCAGAAATTGACTGGGCAGAATAGCACTAATTTGATTGAAAAGGCATTTTTAGATCATTTATATCTTCAATAATATAAGTGGAAAGAAATATTTCATATAGAAAGATGACGAAAGTTCAGAATTTTAACATGCTTTTTACACTGCTCTAGAAAATTTCTTCAACAATATGTCTTTCTTATATTAGAATTCATACTATTTCTGTAAAAAAAAAGAGTAAAGAGGTATGCAGACAGAAGTCAATCCTCTCTTTAAAGTGTTTGTATAATTCTTCATCAAGCAGAAATTGGTGACTGTTTCCCTACTTCTTTCTCCCAGTCATACGCATACAATCAACTTCAAGTTACAGCTAATTACCATATTTCTCAATTAACCAGCCAAATTTCAATCTTTATTCATAATGTGTATCTACCTCATTCTGTAATTCTCTCTCTAGTGGTTAATTAGAGACTTTGCCATTATTTATTTAGCTATGTCCTATCTTGGACAGTCTAGAAAGATATTAGTCTATTACATTAAAAGCTATGTGGGAGCTCCATAAAATGTGAAACTGCTTGAAAAGGGATCATTCACACACAGTGGGACCTGACCCAGACCTCAGGTGAGGCTGAGGTGACATGTGAAGCCAGGTCTACCTACCTTGTACAGATGCTGACCACTCAGATGGGAAATTAGCACCCAACACCTTTCCTTCATTCTTGTGTTGCAGTTGGGGGACAGGCAACTAAACCAGCGCCCCCACATCCAATGTCTGCATCTGGTGTCTGTTTAAAGCAAAGGAAGGCAGGACCGGTGGAGGTGCCGACTGTAACAGACAGGGGAGTCTGTCTGACGTTTCAGCACAGACATTTCAGAGATGAAGCAGAGCATCACGTGGCTGAAAACGGAGGAAGCAGCAAGCTTCCTCAACGCCATGGTAGAAAACTGGATTCTGACATCTGAAGTTATCTTAAGCTCTGAGCTGGGATCTACCCTATCAGTTCTGTGTTTGACCAAGCTGCCCTTGGTCACAGAGAATATGGACACAGGGCAGGGCTCACTTAAGTTCCAACTCCGTCATGAGAAACTTCTTTCTAAACCATGGATCTAACGCTGTTTCTCTATCATAACTTTTAGTAGCACTGGACCGCTGGTTAACAGAGCCCTTGGTGATCTTCTGGCTTGTATCTGCCCCTTTGGCTCTGCTTTATCTGGCCACAGTCTCCTTTGACCATTATACTCCAGAGCTAAGAAGTCCCTACAGCTATCAGCAAGTACTTTGGTGCTCTCATGCACCTCCTCGTTCTGACTCACTCCCTTCAAGTCTACAATGGAAGACTTTTAAGAAGCCTTTTATGAGCTGCCTTTCAATGGACTGCTATCCTAGCCCCTATCTGCTGAACCTTTCCCAAAATCATTAGGCAACATTCCATTAAGGAATAAGCCATATAAATAACTACATGTGTGTTGAAAGTCTATACTCAATCTGGTCATGCACTCTTAATTGCTTTGCAGTAACAACCATGAAACAATCAGGAGAATAACAAACAGTCGCAAGATCCCTGAGAGGACACAGAGAAGTAACAGTAACCCAGAGCCACAGCCCACACAGCACCGCCGCTCCCTGTCTTGGGATGGCTCCTTGCAGTCATTAACCCTGTACTAGATTCTGAGACTGTTTCTTTACACAAATCAAAAGCGTCTACCATTTAAAGCATTACCATGTACCTTATGTAATGTTTAACATGGGACCAAATTCCCAAAATTATTAAAGTTAGAATTAAATCAAACAGCATATTCTTGTTCACATGTTGCTCTTACTGTGAAAACACAATCATTTCTATATTCTCAGTGCTCAGCATAGTACTTGATACAGACTGGACTCCTAAAGAATCTTTGCTAGCTAGAAGTGTTCAGAGAAGTAATCAGAGTCTGACCCCAGGCTGTGATTAGAGGAGTGAGGAGTACCTAAAGAGAGATTTAAGCCAGATTCAAATATTGGCCAATTACGCCAAACTGATATGCAATGGAAGGGTAAGGAAAACAGAGTAAAGAGTGACTGTAAACAACTTCGAGACTTGCAGGCTAGAAAAAGAACTGATTCCTAATGGGAGGTCCACTGAACAAAATGGCGGCTTGAACAATACTGACATTTAGGGATGGAGCTAAGGAAGGGATGGGCAAAGAGAACAAGAGAAGAGACAGAAAAGGACAAGATTAGCATATATGAAGGTCCCAGCGCAAAGTCAAATGCACAGAAAGGTCTAGAAAGTTTGAGTGAAGAAGGGGTGCTGTGGGATGGGCTGTATGTCAAATGTTCTGATTGGTCAATAAATAAAACACTGATTGTCCAGTGGCCAGGCAGGAAGTATAGGCGGGACTAACAGAGAGGAGAATTGAGAGAACAGGAAGGCGGAGGGAGACACTGCCAGCCGCCACCATGACAAGCAGCATGTGAGGATGCCAGTAAGCCATGAGTCACATGGCAAGGTATAGATTGATAGAAATGGATTAATTTAAGATGTAAGAACTAGATAGCTAGAAGCCTGAGCCATTAGGCCAAACAGTTTAAATAATATAAGCGTCTGTGTGTTTATTTTATAAGTGGGCTGTTGGACTGCAAGGGCTTGGTGGAACCCGGAAAGAAAACTCTCCAGCTACAAAGGGGACCTTTGATTCAGTAATTCAACTCTATGATATGTTTCCCCAGGATTTGAAGCTCTTGAACTATCAGGCAGGTGACACAATACATTTGGCTTAGTTTTCCACTGATAATGAGAAATTTACTAAAATTATTTTATAAAGATATCTCATACATTTTCATACATATGGAAGACACCCAGAATAACATAGAGAGGCAGTAATCCTGTAACAGCAGCACAGACCTGGGGGATGCTAGCATATTTACTCTTCTGTGGTCTTTAAATCTGTACTGCCATGCTTGCCAACCGTTAGATGCTTAAATAAAAGCTGTTCCACACAAGAGAATAACCTGTACGCTTGGATTAAGGAGAAATGAAGTTCAGACATGTGACAGAGAGACTACAAGATGCTGATGAGGCAAAGACACAATTCATGGTTTGTTTAAAGATTAACCTTAAAAATCCTGTCCCCACCTGTCAATCACAGGCTCCAGCTGAGTGCAGGCAAGCAAGCTTGTTTCAGAAGTCCAGCTCACGGTACCTGGTGCTGTGTTTTAATGCCAGAGTGTCTACAATCTCTAAGGACTTACCAGTCTAATATGCATCTGTTAGGCTCCAAGTGGAGAAAAATGAACAATTCGATTTATTCATAAGTTAATGTTATTGGAGGTGTTTGGCAATGCAAACATATGGTTTCAGTAATCCTAGACAACGTGGCGTCTTCTGACACCATTCTAGATTCCAAGCTCACTCTCTTGGCTTTTTCTTCTGCGTCTTGATCTACTCCTACTGCCTCGGTCTACTCACTAGTGCTTACATAGCTCTAAGTCTCGTCCTGTTTCATACTTCCTGGAACCTAGGCTCCCCGTCTCCTTATCTTGTAGGGTGCTACTCTCTACCCAGGAAATCTGAAGTATTTCTCAATAAACCTCTCTACTACACTAGCTACACCCAAGTATTCTTTTGTCTGACTAGCATAATTATGATAAAAAGTCAGATAATAGCAAATACTTCCAAAAATATAAAGAGGTCCACAACATCCATGCATAAATACACTAAAACCATTGAGTTGTACAATTAAAACAGAAGTATTTCCATAATTGAAAGAGCCTTTAAGTAAAAATTTATTTTAAAGCAAATTTTACTTAGAAAATTATTAAACATGCTTTTGGCTTTAGAATGTATAATGTTTATT